CTCGGCGAATTGCATTATTGGAAGCAGAATAATTTAGTACCTAAATACCCTGCAGGGAAAGCTACCAGTTGTGAACCAGAATGCTACCAGTTTGCGTTTCAGCCCAACTAGTTCACGTTGTATACTTTTTCATTGTTAGCGACTGGTATTTTTTACATGGCGGTGTCATAGGAGATGTCAATTGTCCGCTCCTGTATCAGCACGCTACCAGTAGAAATATTAGTAGCCAAAATGTATTCAACAAAGTGTGATTGATTTTGACATTGCTCTCATACGAAGCAGGTTGTAATGTCAAATTGAAATGAATTGTTAACCCATTTGAAAATGTGTTTTTTTCAAATTTGAATTTGTTAAAAAAAATTACACACAAATTTTTCAAGCAACAAATTTTCTTGTTAAGAGATAAACCGCCGAGGAGAGCAAGTAAGTACATTTAAGTTTGATAATAAGTAAATATGTTCGACTTTGCTTAAATATTTAATGTAAGGAAACCAAGATGAAACGGAGCAAAACGTTTGAACGGTGCGCTGTATGCAATAAAAGTCACGACACGAAAATAGTGCGATGTTTTAAACCACCTAGTTGCGAATTAAGACGGCAGCGATGGGAAGAAAGCTGTGGTGTTGTACTACGTGATTCATCTCGCGTTTGTGTAAACCACTTCAAGGAAAGTGATTTCATTAGTTGTCCGTCCAAATCAAGCACTTTCAAACGAGCTCGTTTATACACAGGCGCAGTCCCAATGCCATACGATTTAGTACACGATCAGGATACATTCTTTGTTGATGCCCAAAGTCAAACAGACGACTCTTTAGAATGCACCTTGGAACCAGAAATATTTCGGCTTACCGAAATAATTATAACCATGCAAGCAAGTATGGAAGAGCTTAAAGTAAAACCGCTCGAAGCAAAGTCTTTAATGGAAAACTATTTCGCATGAAAAAAAATTTCATTTCAAAATTGTTAGAGTTAATGTCACATATAAAATTGGAAACAAATGTAAAATCATACTTTTATAAGGGTCGAGTTTAGGATAAAAAATTTAAATATAAAAATAAACACACCAAAGCATAAAACTTGGGCAATTAAAAACAAGAAAATTGCTAAAACGATTTTATAAACAATTTGTTTTATTTTATTGACAAAATATATGTAATGTAAGTAAAACAAAACTATAATCGAAATAAAAGCCTAGGGCATCAGTGCTGACAAGATACATGCATCACTAAGGGTTAATTCGTTTGTTTATACTTTTTGACATTATAGTACCTTAAAAGAGAGCCGCACTGAGTTGTCAATCACACCTTGTTTAATACACCTTGCTAGTGGCATCATGCCAGTTGACGGGATAGACTGCCTATTCACCCTCGTGAAAAGCATAAGTATTTCATTTGTCAATGTCATATGTCAATGGTCGACAGAGTAAAGCTTTGGCACACCAAATCAAGAGATCCGAGTTCAAATCTCAGTGAGTGAATCTTTTTTTATTTATATCTCTTGTTGGAATTTTCAAATTTATTGTTTTAAAAAGAACAAAAAATTATTTATTTTAATTTTTTTACGGTGTTTGAGAGAATTTAGGTTTTTTCCAAATGAAATTAAATTTATGTACAAAATTTATTTTATATTTAATATTAATATTTAAATTGAAATAAATTGAAATAATTATAATTATATAAATTTACTTACTTACTTTACTTTAACAACCTCCACGCGCACTCGAACCTGAGATCTCAGAACCGAAATCCGTAGTCTTCAGTCGACGCCACAGCCGACATTTGTGATGAAAGCAATTAACCACTGTTTAGTTTTGGTTGCGGCTATTCAAAGACAGATGTCACTGATCGCATAACTTGTTCGAAATCGCCGGAAAGGTAGGTCGTACAGTAGGGCAAAAAAGATTGCTCAGGACAAATCAATTTTGGGGGCCCAAATATGAACCGATTTCATTTTCCTTTCTTTTAAATAAGGGATAATTAAATTTCGCATCGCATAAAAAAGCTCTAGGTTTTCAATTATTTATGTTGAAAAATGGAAGAAAAAATATTTTTACGTTTGAATGCTTCCAATTTTTTGGAAAATGCTTGAAATTTATTTCAAATGTCTGAATAAAAATTATTCATAAACCTTTTCACCATAGGATACATTTAATTAAAAGATGCGTTTCATTTGTTATCTATACTAATACATATATATTTTGAAAGCCGTTTTTTCTGTTCGAAAAACTCGAGAATAGCTGTACCAATATTTTTTAAATTTCGGACATCGACTCCAGACTATCCGGGGATGAAAAGCATTTTCGATATATAAAGGGGGTGTGGCACCTTCCATACAAACTGAACTTTTCACACAACATATCTCTGGAAGTATTCATCGTAGAGTGCTGCAACTTAGTATAGAGATATATAATAACAACGCCAAACTCATGGAAAAAATGGGAGTTATTGAAAAACGGGGCGTGGCACCTCCCATACAAACTGAATTTCTCACACCTCATACACATTCTAGTGTGAGAAATTCAGTTTCTAATGTGAGAAATTCAGTTTCTAATGTGAGAAATTCAATTTGTATAGTAGGTGCCACGCCCCGTTTTTCAATAACTCTCAATTTTTCCATGAGTTTGGCGTTGTTATTATATATCTCTATACTAAGTTGCAGCACTCTACGATGAATACTTCCAGAGATTATTTGTGTGAAAACATCGGTTTGTATGGGAGGTGCCACGCCCCCTTTGTTATATCGAAATTAGTTTTCTTCTATTATCATCCTTTGGGGGTCTAGAGTCGATGTCCAAAATTTCAAAAATTACGGTACAGTTGTTCTCGAGTTTTTCGATTAGAAAACAACGGCTTTCAAAATATATATATCAGTATATATGAAAAATTAAAAACATTTTTTAAGTAAATGCATCCTATGTTCATGAACATTTTTTTAAATAATTGCAGGCATTTGAAATTAATTTCAAGTATTTTCGAAAAAACTGGAAGCATGAAAACGTAAAAATTTGTTTTCTTTCACTTTTCAACATAAATAAATAAAAAACTAGAGCTTCTTTAAAAAAATCGCCACGGATAGATCGACGCGAAATTTAATTATCTCTTATTTAAAAAAAGAAGCATGAAGGCGGTTCATATTTGGGCTCTCAAAATTGATTTGTCCATAGCAACCTTTTTTGCACCACTGTGGGTCGTCGCTTTAGGCTATCTGCACACTTGTCGTCCAATCATAGTTGCGTTATCGTCTCGCCCTGAAATTTTGAGCCGAGCACATGCATTTCAAAGGAGATTGGCACACTTGTCGTTATCGCCTAGTTATCGGCAAATCGTAGAAGATGCAGAAACGGATAAATACGGCACCGTCGTTTGCTAATCGTTGTGCACGTATTATTTGTTTACATTTTATGGGGAAGAATTAGTGAACAAGTTAATATTTGCATTAAAATTGCAAAAAAATTAGCATTTTTTGCATAAAATCTGTGGAAATTATTGAAAAGTGCATAATTGCATTAAAATTCAATAAATGTGAGCGTTTTAACTATAAAATGTGACGAAATTGTAAAAAGTCTCTGTGTGCATGTTCAAAACACATTTCAGGAAAAGAAAAGAAGAGATTTTACTGAAAAATGATGTCTAGAATTGTTGCAGCATAGTCTATATTTTAAAAATTGCAGGTTTTTGTAAATATTTCACGAAAATATCAACCAGAAAACAGAAAATACCAGCTCCAAGTGATTTTTTAGACGCCAAATGAATTGAAATATCACGACCGAGTGGGCGAAAGTGTAGTCGTCATGTAATCGTTGCATCATGATTGTGACGATGAAGCAACTATGATTGGATGACCAATGTGCAGAAAGCCTTATGGTCTGATTATGCATACTTCGCACAACTTCGCATAAACTTTATACTGTAATTTCGTATGTACTTTGTATCTAATTTGTATGTATTCCATTACCCAGAAATTAGCAGAATTTTTAAAAACTTAGCGATCTGTTCAGTTTAGATTTCGCTTCACATTTTCTTAAGTTACATTTTTATTGCACTGGTGCAAATGGTTGTGCGAAGTTATGCGAAGTATGCATAATCAGACCCTTAGCGAATACTAATTAATGAACTAGTATTTATACTGGCTGGTTTGGCATTTCACTGCGGACAACTGGTATAATTATAGTCCATGACGAACTGGTATGACTTCCCCATTTAATACCAGTTTTCGAACTAGAATTTCTACCAACTTGTTTACTTTTTTCTATGAGGAAGTGGTGTAATTATGGTTTATAACGAACTGGTATAACTTTTATCCTTAAATAATAGTTCATGAACTGGAATTTGTGCATACTGGTTCAGCTTTTCACTGCAGGGTAACGCATCATGAGGCTTTGTCCCCTTTCAGACACGTCAAGTCTTGAAAGCAATTTTTTTCGCATTCTCTTTTGTGTTTTCTATTTGCTTCCACACGCGTCAACTTTAATTGAATTCAAGTCCTTGGTTCTTTAAATGGGAAGCAACGAAAGGATCAAAAGAGACAAGAAAACTTGAAACGAATTGACGGTACGGAGGTATCTGTACTCTTCCCCTCTCTTCTCACCTCCTTCGCCTACGAACGAGCAGACTTGAAAGCAAGACTTGACGTGTCTGAAAGGGGACTTTTCATTGAGTTGTGGTGTATTCTGCTGGTGTGTGTGTGGTGTATTGTGGTATTCTTGGTTGTTGCGAATTACTTTACATAAATCCCCTCCCCCTGCGGCCGGCCCTGAGGTAGAGTTAATACTCCTCTGCAGCATTCTCTTTCCAGGCTAGCTATGTTGTCAGCATCAAATCGAATACGCTGTTTCTTTTGTGATGAAGTCCCCACATTCTGGAGCAGGTAAGATTTTCTCTTTTTAATATCTGAGAACTATCAACCAGTGGTATTTTTATTTCGAAGCACTTTGATTCACTCCTCTTAAAAACATGCCTCCAATCGCATTTTTATTGACAATCCAATTTAAAAGACCCAAATTGTTTTCATAGAACTTTTATTTTACAAAATCAGGGCAAAATTATTTCTTCCCAGAATTTCCTTGACTTGTTCAACATAGATATGCTACAAGAAATACATAGTTTAAAGATTTCGCTATTTAAATTTTTTAAGTTGCAAGGTTTGTATATACATGTATTATATTTTTAGGTTATAAACTCGGTGCTGTAATATTTAATACTTTATCAATTTGTAATTACATTTTATCAGTATATGTAAGTATATTACGCCTTAAAAGGAAGCCTCCACCAGGTACGTACCATCCATGGGCTGATTGTTTTGATTATTTTGAGCATTGCCCGAAGCCGGTAGGTACTTTCCGCAAGCCTAAAATTAAAAAAACACTTGCATGAAATGGTATATGAGAGAAAATAATTCAATTTTAAAATTTTGTACCTAAATATGTATTTATATGTGTATATGCTATTGAATCTTTTATATTTTTACTGACAAATAGGAATTTCGATTTTCGCTCGCGAAATCTCGAGTATTTGATACCCGGGGAATCGAATTATCGCTACAATCTCGGGTACTGTCATACCTACAAGCAATTTCAAGTAGTTAACGAGACATACGAGCTTATCGAGAATACGAAAAAGAAAGAAAAAAATTAAATACAAAAAATAATAATTTATGCTAAATATTCTATATGTATTATAAAAAAAGTTTGTGTTTTTATAAAAAATATCAACTGCATCACGAGCTTTTCAATCCACGGGAATCTCGTGAAAAAGCGGTTCCCATCAAAAACTGATTCTTGACCATTTTTTGGAAATCGACTGCTCTACTAATAGCTATTTACACGATATGTATTTGCACATGTAAATGTTACTTTTCCGATACGTTCTTGTATATGGCGCATTCGAGTAGATAGAAAAAAGTAGCATTTACATATGCAAATACATATCGTGTAAGAGCGCTGTAACAAGTGCATCTGAAGACATGCAGAAATACGGTGCCAGATGCGGGATTCTTGCGCGGGCGGTGGGAGTTTGGGTTTAGTGGGTAGCCCAACACGCTTCGGTGGGAGTCCCACACTCGGGGAAGGTAGTATAGAGATAGAGCACCCGGCCAGTGCATAAAGCATTTCCCTCTCCTACGAAAAAAAGTGGCGAACATGTTCAGCTACATATCGTCGTTTAAAGTACAAAACCGCGTATCGTCATTCTGCAAAACTGCGTAACTGACATTTTCAGCCAAAAATTGGATTTGCTCTTGGCTCAATCCTTATCCATTCGTCCTGAAATATGCTAGCCAGGAATGCGATTGCTTTATAAAAAAGAGAACAATTTTAAATATGAGTGTTTTTACTCTCTAGAAAATAATTTATGCAACCTCACATACGCGGTTTTGCATTTTGTTGATACGCGCTTTTGTACTTTAAATGACGATATGGATTTGGCTTAGGCAGAGCATGTCTTCCTATTTGATTTGTGGTGGATTACGATCAAAGCTTTTGACGGGAGAAGCTTTTTAAAGGTTTTGTCACATGTAATAATCAAAAAATTAAATAGACTTGGGCGATTTTTCTGATCTTTTTCGCCTATTTGCCAAAGAGGCATTGTGTGGCCTACTAAAAACTAAAACTTTATTTATTTGTTATAAGTTATCATTTTACACATTTTTCTTTTAGCTAAAAAAGAATTCAGTCTGGTTGATCAGGGATCACACGGTTTGTACATTTATACAGATTTGTACATTTTGGCAGTCACAGGGTTGTGTTTTCAACAACTTTGTGTCACAGCGCACGGCAGTGCGCGCAAGTGACGAAAGCAGCCACAGTAGCATGCTGAAATGACTTATATATACACGAGATTTGGAAGTTTTTATCCAGACGTCCAATCGACATGTTTGAGATATCGTTGGAAAGGTCTTGCAGAGTGTGTCCAGAAAACGTATTCAAGCTTCATAAACGATTAACCGGATTCTTAAAAATTTGGCTAAAGTGTTGCGAAACAAAAAAAGGTGTTTTTGCTTTTGCCGGTTTAAGGATGCACATCGGTACATCCAACATATTTATGTTATTCTATAGGCCAATACCTTTCAAACGATACCTTATATAATAAGTTCCGGCTACTAGTTGGAAAGATATAGAGGTAAATGTGTTTTGGTTCGTGTCTCCACTACGAGATGGGTTGGTATGTATCAGAGCTGTAAAATGATTGAATCAACATAGTCTGCATTCACTCGGCATTCCTTTCAAAATGTTGATTGTTGGTTTGTATAAATAAAAACTTCATTCCTGAGTGGCTTAAAATATTTGAAAACAAACNGACTACAAAAAAACTAAGAAGGTTTTGTTCCAGGAAGTTTTGATTCGTATGCCATTGTGGGCGTGGCTGCTGCCTGAAAATCGAAAAAAGGCAATTTTTTAAACTACCACTGAGGCCGCACTTCTCAGTCCATACCATTGACGTGGATATCAGAAGAAAGGGTCTTTAAACAAGCTATCTAACGCCATCTTTTGTATTTATTAAATATAAATATGTCATAACGTTATCGCCTGAAATTTAAAAATCGGGATGCTGAAAATATACATTTCGGGCATTTTCTCAAAAAATGGTCCGTCGATTTTATTCTAGGTTTCCACAAATCTAGCCCAAAATCTTATCTTTCATCTGGTATATAGCTTATATCTGGGAAAACTCTTGTTATGGAGATATTGCGATTCAAATTGAAAAAAATTTCGCTCCAAAAAGGGTCAAATGGTTAAAAATTAACATATAAAAATAAACTACGAGACAATCAGACGAATACAAATGTTTATTGTATCCAAAGTTGGTACCAACTTGATAAGTTTTTATCACTTCTCATAATTTTTTCGAATACAAAGGATATGATCATTCTTTTTCGCTTTATTCCGTATTCGAAAAATTATATGTTTCAATGGGCAAATCGATTTGAATACATAATTTAGATTTAGATAATATTTTTAGCAATTTATTTGAGAAAAATAAAACATTTAGATTATTGTTTGTATTTTCGTCGGTTTTAAATTTGCTACCCCAAAATAATTGATATCAAATAAACCACCTCTTTGAGGTAAACTTAAATTTATGATATCAATTTCGTGACGAAAATTATACGAATTTTTTAACTGCCTTTGAAACGAACGGATGATGTTGTTGTGTCGTTTCTTCCACTTATTTCGCAGCTGAAGGTCCGATAAATATTCGCGGGACCACCGATTCCAAAACTCGCGTTTGAGGTGAGAAACAAGTTTCCATCTTGTTAATAAATTTGTTTGCTGTGGGCTACACGTTGGATCAACGTGGGCATTTAGGGGTTCTCCTATGAGGAAGTGGCCTGGAGTTAAAGCTGTTAGATCGTTAGGATTGTCGGACATTGGGCTGATTGGTCTGGAATTTAGGATTCCTTCCACCTCGATGATTACCGTGTCCAATTCTTCATACGTTAAGAACGCTGTCGAGGTGCTTCTTATTAGTAGATGCTTAGCAGATTTTACCGCTGCTTCCCATAAACCGCCAAAATGTGGAGTCCTAGGAGGTATAAAACGAAATGTTATTCCCTTTCCGCTGCACTGCTTTACTATTGATTCTCGTGATGAATTTCCATAAAAAACGTCAGTAAGTTCAGAAAGCTGGTTTTTCGCGCCTACAAAATTGGTTGCGTTCTCACAATATAAATTTTGACAATGTCCTCTTCGGCTTAAAAATCATTTTAAGGCACCAATAAATGCATCCGTCGTTAAGTCGGTGACTAATTCCAAATGCACTGCCTTTGTGGCAAAACAGCAAAATATCGCTACATAGGCCTTTTGTGGTTTCTTTCCCCTTATCCTTAAGTGAACCCAAAATGGCCCGCAGAAGTCCACGCCTGAGTTAATGAATGGTCTTGCTGGAGTTACTCTTGTTGAAGGCAAGTTCCCCATAATTTAACTCATTAGTTTTGGCTTAGCTTTGGTGCATCTTACACAGTTGATGCTAACATGATGTTCTCAGGAATTTGCCTTTCGTCGATCTTGATTTCTTGCGAAGGTTGCGGGGATATAATCTGAGTCAATACCTCTGCCTCTAGCCGCGTTGTAAAGTTGTTGATCCGAGACTGTAGCGCCACATTGACTCGATGCTGTATCTTAGTGCTCCTTGACCCGATGGCACTAATGGAGATTGATGATGGTTTAGTTGAGATGCCAAGACGTTTAACCAATCGTTCAGTCACAAAATTAACTTGTGAGCCTGAATCGAGAATTGCCAGACACTGCACTTCTGTTCCGATTCCTCTAACTTTCACCATGGCAGTGCTTAGTGGTACATATGTGTTTGACTTTGTGTGCTTTGCGGTGGTAAGTGACGCTGCTTCGTCTTTTGATGGCGTTGATTTGGTCCTGGATGGTGTAGTACTTTGCGATTCGTTGCCTTGTGTTGGAGTGGCTACTGATGTAATGTCTTTGCTCACATCCCTTTTTGAATCCTCGAAATGTAACAGCGTGTTGTGTTTTTTGTTGCATTTCAGACAGTTTCTTAATATACAATTTTTAGATCCATGTCCCGGTTTTAGGCAATTGTGGCAATATTTCTGCCCTTTTATGAACTGAAAGCGTGCCGATGGAGACTGTTGTAAAAATTCCTTGCAAGAAAATAATGGATGTTTTCCTTTTTTGCACATGCTGCAAGTGTCATTTCTATGACCTTTGGATGTGACTGAAGTGCACACCTTTGCAGTTGAGCTTGTAGATTTGTCTTTGACACCCATCGCTTCCATGGATTGAAAGTGTTTCTCCAGAAATTGCAGGAATTCCTTGAGTGTTTGTACCTCCCGTGGCTTTGATAATGATTGTTCGTACCGCAAACGAGTCGGTTGATCCAGTTTCTTTAGTAGAAGGGGGAGCAGAAGTGGATCCCATGTTGATGTGTCTATCTGCAAATTTTGCAATGCTAATAGACATTCTTGTGTTGTGTCATGCAGTTTTTTGACATTGTCCATTGATGTGCTTCCAGGTGTAGTAGTTAGCTCATGTACTAACTTGCTCACCAGCAAGCGTTTGTTGTTGTAACGCTCCAGAAGCATGAACCAAGCTGCATCAAAATTCTCTCCTGTTGATGCGAAATGTTTAATTAGATTTCCAGCCTCCCCCACTAAGTGAGTTTTCAAGTACCACATTTTCTGAACTTTTGAAAGAGGTTGATTTATTACCAGTTGCGAGAATAGGTCATGAAATTCTTGCCATTTTAAATAGGTGCCATCGAATTTTGGAATTATTATCTTCGGCAATGAAATGGATTGCAGTTTAATCGGAAGTTGGTTTGAAGATTGCTCAGTATGGGAGTCACTATTAGCTGCTTGCAAAGTACTCCATACCTTTT